ACGTCCGGGCGCACATTTTACTTACGCCCGGACTAGAATTTACGCCCGACATATGCATACGGCCACAGAAGTGGAGAACATCACTCTGTGGGTTCAACTTAAAGAGGACGTTTTCAAGTGTACACATCTCGTATGTTGACACAATGGAGAGTGAGTGTGATTTTACCCCGCTGTTAGAAATATTCTAACTCGGAGTGGGACAACTGAAATGAGCTTCATGTCTGTGTTGGTAATCGAGCCCAGGTTTTGGTGTGGCGAGCAAACGCTTTAACCACTAGCCTATCCCACCGCTCAGAGCATGAAGTTAAGCCCGATTTAAGCAAAGTTACAGCAATATCGCGGCAGGGGACACCAGAATTTAGCTTCACACATCGTACCCATGTGGGGAATCGAAACCGGGTTATTGTTGTGACGAGCAAACGCTTTAACCATTATCCCAACGATCCGGGCAAGTAGTGAGTTCAGTTTTACGCCACTTTTAGCAATATTCCAGCAATATTCCAGCAATATCACGTCGGGGGACACCAGAAATGGGCTTCACACATTGTAGCCATATGGGGAATCGAACCCGGGTCTTCGGCGTGAAGAGCCAACGCTTTAACCACTAAGCTACCACACCGCCCCTCCTGGCAAGTAGAAGTTTGGGAGACAACAAACCCTGGCGTCAGTTTAATTGCTCCAACCAACGTGCCTTCAAATAAAATACTTTCCCTGCAAACCATGTTTTGGTGAACACGCAAGACATAACATTCGACACACCCGAACTGGCTACAGATCACTTTGAGACAACCTCAAGACCAGTCCACCATTAAGGAGAACAGTTTGTCATTCGCTGTATTTAAAACGGGAAAACAACTACATCGTCTTAAAGAAAGTGTATTCGAGTTAGTGGAGTTCGACTTAACAGGGTTTGAGCATTGGCATGTATATATAAAGTATAACAGACGGACAGAAAAAAGAAAAAGGAACGTATTTTCCTCATATATCGGAGTAACAGTATTCCTATGTGCAAACTGAGGACATTATTAATTAACCATTTATTCCGGAAACTGTCAGGTAACTATATACATGCACATACATTTATTAGATCCAATTCCAGAGTTGCTCGATATTAAAATATAGGTTATACGTGCTCGAGTGGCATTTTCCATCCCCAGCGGCATTCGACAGCAGAACCTGAAACGGTTGCAGGATTATAATAGAGTATCTATGTTGCACATCGGACCACTAGCTGCAGGTAACAGGTGTTGACGAAGCAGGGAGCTTGAAATTGGCAGTATACTGAACAAGAAAAGTTAGGCTTCATGACTACTGGGAGATAAAGTGAGTGAGTTTAGTTTTACGCCGTTTTTAGCAAAATTCCAGCAATATCACCAGAAATGGGCTTCACATATTATACCCATGTGGGGAATCGAACCGGGGTCTGCGGCGTGACGAGCGAACGTTTTAACCCATAGGCTATCCCCATCTCTCTCTCTCTCTCTCTCTCTCTCTCTCTCCTCTGTGTGTGTGTGTGTGTGTGTGTGTGTGTGTGTGTGTGTGTGTGTGTGTGTGTGCACAGTTTCAGGAATATGTCTCTGAAAAGTTCATGATCTCGAACGTTTATTGTTCAGTACAGATCATCTTTGATTTCGAAGTGTCTCCCAAGACAAACATCGGTTGGTGGGTATAGTGTTTGCTTGATCCTAAAGTGTTCTCGGTTCGATCCCCATTATTGTTGCAGAAATACTGCATTTTTGCCAATGGATGCAAATCACACGGTGTACAAGATAAGGGTGTCCACGTATTTGTCGTCGTCATAACATTTCGAGTGTACATAGATTTGTTTAAGGGGTCATTTCGTGAGTGGTAGTGCGTGGTCCTGTGCTTAGAACCCAGATCACATATCAGTTGAAGTTAAGCAACGAAGGGTGCGGAGAGTTCTTGGATGGGTGGCCGTATTCGGCAGCTTGACTCCTGAGAGTTTCTAGAACTTCAGTTCTGCCTCACAACGAAACTCGTATGGTTCATGTGGTCTCACCTTAGGCAAGTGAGTTTGTTCAAGAGTGCCTGTATTCACTCAGCAGAACATGGGTACCCGGCGGGACGTGACATGTGGCTATTAACCTTCTAGCGCCTCACAGACAGCTTAGGTTATCCAGGGTTAATAATGACCTAATTGTGCTTTGAGCAGGATATGAAGCCTGGAAAGGCGCGTTATAAATATTCAGCATTATTATTTAATATTAATTTTCTTTCAGTTTGAGGGCGTCTTGTAGCATATTGGTTGAAGCGTTCGCTCGTCACGCCGAAGGCAAGGTTCGAGTCTTCACATGGTGGGTACAAAGCGGGAGGCCCACTTTGCGAGAGTGATATTTCTGGAAAATTGATAAAAGTGGTACAAAACCGCCCACTCACTATTTCAGTAATTGATTAAAGCTGCATCTTTGGTCTGTGGAGAACCAACCGTGAAGTCTAATTTTATAAGTCTTATTTTGTAAATTCATGTTATGCGTAAATGAGCTTTTACAACGTTGATTATTGTACGTCAGTAACATAATGAAACCGTGCCCAAAGCAGGAAATTTCTCTAACAGCCACTGCCAATATCTCTGACAAACATTGTCAATCACTGTCACAAATACCAGCAAACACCCTGTTAACACTAATATGGCAATCCAGGTTCATGGTGGATGACACAAACCACAAAAAAAGAGAAGATCAAAAGAGAGGAAGTGTTTATGAAACTTTCTTAAAATTTAAAACATTTACCCAAGCTGACATTTGAAAATATTACGCGCTTGACACAGGTGTCTGACCTCCGTTTTAGGGGTGAAACGGTATACCGCGGTAACTTGCCTTCGGTTCGGTATACCGTAATGCAATCCCAAAAATAAAAAATCATTTTAATAACCTTTTTAAACCTTTTCTAAAATGTCTAGAAATCGAATCATTTTGTCAAAATCTATGCGTTTCTTTCCTTTTCCGCATTTTTATCATATCTTAACCGAACCGAAACGGACCCAACCGAAACGGACCCAACCGAAACGGACCCAACCGAAACGGACCCAACCGAAGGTCTTGTACCGCAATACGTACCGTACCGTGGTATGGGCGTACCGTTTCACCCCTACTCTGTTTTCATTTGGAAAAAAATGAGTTCGTTCGTTCGACAATTGTCGATTTGCATTATTTTGTAAATGATACTAATTTCAAATACATTGAAATGTTATCGACCTGTCCCTTACCAATGAAACCCAACGCTTAGTTTGGACAAACCCATCACCTAGGTGTTTCGGATCATATGAGTGTAATCCTGGTACCAGCGACAACTGCCAGCCAGACTCATCTCCTTTCACGAAAAAAACATGTGCAATTACCTACGTGAATTTACACATGATTCAGAAACGCCTATGATTCATATATGAATCACGTTCATGACAGATACGACACCCAGTAAACAGGATCCCTACTCTGTCGTGATTAGTCTGCTGCTGTATATAGGTGAGATCACGGCACACTTTCCTAGCGGTGTCACATTTAAAAACACAAATATGTGAATGATGATTCACATTATCGCTGGGGAGAAATGTTTTTATTTCCTGCACGTGATTCTATTTGTGACAAGAGCGTTTAAGAAATAAACAAAACTCTAACCATTCTAACCTAACTCTAAACACTAAACTCTAATCTCAGAATATTGTTCAACTTAGAATAAAAGTTGTTTAACAAACGATCATAGTTTCAAACCGCTATTATTTGTTTGTATTACAAGGGGGTAAGCGCAGTAGTTGGAACAGTGAAACAAATGCACGTGTGGTACGTGATGAGCGTTAACTAAGACCAAACCTACATGTTCTCGGTGTTTCATTTAATGTGCAATTGTGAGAAACCCCTTGTAATACAAACCAATAATAGCGATTTGAAACTATGATCGTTTGTTAAACAACTTTTCTCCTAAGTTGATTAAATTTCTGAGATTTAAATGTTCAGTTGGCAAGGTAAAATTATGAGGGTTCGCAATCTTAATTTCACTTTATTTGATTTACTTTTGTGTTTAAAGTGACATTCATCGGCACGTTTTCACTGCAAACAGACCACATGTATCAGTTTTCGCTAGTTTGTGTTTTTTAACGCCGGATTCAAAAATATTTACGTTGTATGATGGCAATCTGTAACGTATCAAGTCTGGACCACAAGTTCCAATGATTGACATCATGAGCATCGATCTAAGCAAAAGGGATCTGACAACATGCATTAACAAAGTAAGTGAGCCTGACGACCAGATACCCTTGTTGATTTCCTGCATGGGTTGCTAAAGACCAATAATTTTTTACCCCGGTTCTTAACGGGTCCTCCCCACTGTGTATTCGAAGGTGCATGTTGTTTCACATCCAAACTAGTGGTCAAAAGCATGAGCACCACAAGGGGGGGGGGGGGGGAGTATGATGTTGACATAGATATATAAATGAGTTTCCAGCACAAACATTTACGATGGTCTAATGCATTGGCAATTACATGAAAGCGTTACAACTGGAAACGAGAGATACAAATTGATTAACGATATTTGTTCATGTTCCACGGAAACATAATAATATTGATTATAATGTATCTGTTGATGATAATTGCTATCATTATGTTGGTGGTGGTGATTCTTATTGTAATGTTGTTGATGTGGATGATGTTAGTGACATAAAATTCCAAACGTAATGATTAAAAAGTTCTTGTAACGAATTCCATAATTATATCTTACGTACAGAAAACGTGTACCAAAGATACAGAGTCTTAAATTACACCTCATTTGTAGACATAGAGGCGGTTCTAACGATAAGTAACAACGGTGTGCGTTCGTTAAAACGAAATCAGCTTAAACTAAGCTAATCCGACCACCAAGCAGCGCTGATCATCCTAATGGGAACCTGAATATCGAATTTCGCAACAACGAATGGTCCCTCAGACGTCCAGATTCGATGAGAGGATGAAAATTAGAAGGAAAATTAACGTAAATAAGTAACTACTCACGTGGATTCAGTTCGTACGAGTGCCAGTAGGAGTTGGTGATGCTGACGATCATCACCAAGACTGTCACCATGCTGACAAACACTCCCAGCCAACGTAACCTCACAAACACTTCGTGTTCCCAGAACTCGCTAAGCACATGCCATTGATGCATTGACAGCTGAACCTCAGACTTAAACCGGTTTTTCTTTTTCCCTTTTTCTATCACCCGGTAAGCGTTGTATTGCTCCTGTTTATGTCTCCTTAACTCCTTGATGTCATCTTCCGAAAGGTATTTCCGTTCCAAATCCGGATGAACAAATTTTAATCCTTCCTGTCTTGCTTTTTTAACAGGCGTGGAAGTCCTTTCCTTTTTCCGTTCGGAATTTTCTATCATTTCGACACGACGTCGAAAAGACGCCCGTCTGTCACGTGACCATTTGGCCCACTGGGATCCAAGAGAAGCTCCAAGAAACTTGGCCCTGACGGAACTCCTGGACTTGGTGGAGCCCCCCTGGGAGGACCTGCTGATGGCGGAGCTCCTCCGGCTCCCACTTCTTTTGTCCCACTCCTCATCTATATGCTCCCGCTGGAGCCCCATCGGGGACAATGTATCCATAACAGCAGTACCCTGGGAGAAGTACTCGCTGTAGTTCGCGTGGCCAGGGCCGCTACTGTAATGGTCATTCATCCTTGACCGGTCTCTATTTTTCTTACTATCCGTTTTCATATCCTCCCGGCCTGTACTCCGGGCTTGTAACTCACGCCTATGGGCTTCAGCTTCCTCGGGGGTTAGACTCAATCCCCCCGTATCCCCCCTCGTCCGGGTCGAACCTCTTAAACTGTGTATACTTTCCTGTGAAGAAAATCCTGAAGTTATGGTCTCTCCTAATCCACTTGTTTCCGTTGAGCTCTGAGCGTGCAATCCATGTAGGCTTGGGGCCCTGTCAAGGTTTGTTGTTTCCGGGGACAGAAACTGCCTCCCTCCGTCTCGTCCTCCTCCACCTTCCCGCGTTGTGTCACGTGACTGGCTCAAGTTTCCCTTCCTATCCATGACTTGGGCTAGTCCCAGGTGTATGTATATATATTGGAGCGGCTCTTCGACTCACTCCAGCTGCCGCAGTGTGACTTCGGTCGATATCAACGCCATCCAGGTCTCTACCTGCAACACACACACAACAGTAACTCAACAGCTGTCTAGCTGTGCTCATATTTACTGAATGAAGTGCACGAACGGTCACACTCTGTTAAGCATAACAAAGCGCCCTGCCTACCCTCAGTGGAATTGTGTTCAAAGGCACAGTCTATATATGCATTGTAAAAGTGCTACAGTCCCAGACTGTTTATCGTTCAAAACGTTTCTGTTTTCGACATGTGTTTCGGAATCTGATCTGAGTTTCGATTGAAAAGACTTCATCATAATTTTCAGAACATCCTCTAATCATATTGAAATGAAATTGGGTTACAGACACGACACAGTAATTCAATGGATGAGAGCGTATATCAAGTCTGAAAAACATATACAGTTTATGAAATAGATTTTTAGAAAATGTCGAAACGTTTCCATGACGGAACAAAGTCAGAAGACTTTCCGAAGACTCATGATAATCACGATAATTTTAACTTTCGACGTCAGAGACAGGATGTTCCAGTAATATTCCACCTATATGGCGGCGATCTGTAAATGATCAAGTCTGGACCAGACAATTCAGTGACCAACACAGAATCATTGGTGCTACATGAACGGGTGAAGAGCGTGTAAGTGAATTGGGTTTTACACCCCTCGAGCCGTATCACCAGCCATTGGTTTCATACGCTATACCATGTGGGAAATCGAAATCAGGCATTTGGCGTGACGAGCAATCGCTTTAACCACTAGGCTATCCCCCGCCGCAACGGGCAAAGGAATGTGAATGACTTGCCTTTAACATTTTAAAAAATATTTCGGCCTGTTCCACAAACAATGCGATGGTTGTGCTACGACGACCGGAAGACCAATACCTAAACACAGCCTTACGACAGCCGTAACGTTACATTTGTTTTGTGAAACGGAGGACGGGCTCTTGTGGACATTGTGGTTTTGTGAAAAGGAGTACGGGCTCTTGTGGACATTGTGGTTTTGTGAAACGGAGGACGGGCTCTTGTGGACATTGTGGTTTTGTGAAACGGAGGACGGGCTCTTGTGGACATTGTGGTTTTGTGAAAAGGAGGACGGGCTCTTGTGGACATTGTGGTTTTGTGAAACGGAGGACGGGCTCTTGTGGACATTGTGGTTTTGTGAAAAGGAGTACGGGCTCTTGTGAACATTGTGGTTTTGTGAAAAGGAGTACGGGCTCTTGTGAACATTGTGGTTTTGTGAAAAGGAGTACGGGCTCTTGTGAACATTGTACACCTTCACGGATACCGTCGGTAGAGGGCACACACCAAGAAGCATAATCGGTACGACTTATAGATTCAAACACAACCAAAGGGTCCTGATACCTCAAAGAGACGGAACTCAGACCAACGAGCTAATGTCAATGCAAGACAAATCTTACGGATAACAACTTCTATATATGTTTACCACCACGTCTCTCGGCCATTTCTCGCCCCTTTTTCAGTAGGATAATTAACGTCGTGAACAGTACAGTATATATTTTGAGCCATTATTAGTCAACAAGCTTGTAACAATGGCTTGTAAGTGATCAACGTTGTTGACCTGCTACCTTTACATCGAAACCTCGCTTATCCGAACCACACCGTTTCTGTTGAAACTGTTCGCATTAACCAGTTTCCAGATTAACATGTCTCCGGAATACCAACTGCTGTGTATTTAGTAAGGAATGTGTACCTTGTTAAAAGCGGTCTCCCAATAAGCGAGGTGTCCAAAATAACAGGGTTTCACAGTATACAACTACAGGTTCTGTGAACACATTGGTCAAAGTAACGCCTATGTTCCCGGAATAACGACTGCAGCGGATTCAGTAAGGACTGTCTTGTTAAAAGTGGTCTCCCAATAAGCGAGGTGTCCGAAATAACAGGGTTTCACAGTATACAACTACAGGTTCTGTGAACACATTGGTCAAAGTAACGCCTATGTTCCCGGAATAACGACTGCAGCGGATTCAGTAAGGACTGTCTTGTTAAAAGTGGTCTCCCAGTAAGCGAGGTGTCCGAAATAACAGGGTTTCACAGTATACAACTACAGGTTCTGTGGACACACTGGGCAAAGTAACGCCTATGTTCCCGGAATAGCGACTGCAGCGTATACAGTAAGGACTGTCCTTTTAAAAGCGGTCTCCCAATAAACGAGGTGTTCGGTTAACAGGATGTCACAGTGTTCTGTGAAAACACTAGGCTAAGTAACGCTATTAAGTTCAGTAAAAGTGAATTAAGCTGAAGGTCATCGGGTCTGCGTCTAACGAACCATGAATGATTGATGGGGTTGATCATTACAAAACAAAGAGAATTTTCCTTTCATTGTTTTCTTAAATGTACGGCTTTAGTGTCTTCCTATTTATTCTTTGAAGCTACTTTGTTATTCTAAACATGGTAACATTACTCATTCCAATAGGATATTAAACAAGCCACGAGGCAGCAACAGTTCAGATGAACTAACTCTGTTCAAGGCACCCGTGAAGATCCGGGTTAGAATTGATCTTCAGTAACCCATGCTTGTCGTAAGAGGCGACTAACGGGATCGTGTGGTCAGGCTCGCTGCCTTGGTTGACAAATGTCATCGGTTCCCAATTGCGCACCCGCCGTGATATTGCTGGAATATTGCTAAAAGCGGCGTAAAATCAAACTCACTCACTCACCCAATTGCGCAGATCGATGCTCATGCTGTTGATCACTGGATTGTCTGGTCCAGACTCGATTATTTACAGACCGCTGCCATATAGCTGGAATATTGCTGAGTGTGGCGTAAAACTAAACTCACTCACTCACTGTTCAAAGCTGCTTGGAAAAGTATTTCAATTGAACCGAAACCTGGGTGCAAAATGTGGAAAATTTGTTGTTTATTTGTTTGTTTTTGTACGCCGTAGTCCGCAATAAGCGAGCTATGACGGCGGTCTGCAAATAATCACGTCTGGATCAGACAATCCAGTGACTGACATCATGAGCATCGATGTATTGGCACCTGATGACATGCTGCAAGCATGTCAGAGACTACAGAAGTTCCTTTAGTCGCCCCTAACGACAAACAGCGGTTGCTGATGATCAATTCTAACCTGGATCTTCACGGGCTTTCTGTGGCAATGGGATGAAATGACGCTATCAACGTTTTAACCGTGAGTACAGGCAAACCACGGACTGACTGAGTATGGTTTTACGCCGCGTTTAGCAATATTCCAGCAATATACACCAGAAATGGGCTTCACACATGTGGGAATCGAACCCGGGTCTTCGGCGTGACGAGCGAACGCTTTAACCACTGGGCTACCCCATCACATTTACCGTTAGAGGAGAGCCCGAGGTGATGCGGGTCTCAGATGTAGAAACCGCGATCACATGATCTTTCGACTCCTGTGGCGAGTAGTTATTGTCGGAGAATTTGGACACCCTTCGTCCGCCATAGGAAGAGATGTGCGCCCAGTTAACCATCACATATGTTCTTCCCCCATCGAGTTGGCCGTATATTTGTGACAATTTAACACCACAGAGCCCGTCTCCCAAACATGCATATTCACTCTCAGCGTCACCAGAGTAAGGCAGAAACACGGGTCTGACTTGAGACGTGTTTACAAAGCATTTAGTGCAAAGGCAATTTGCAAATTTCAACCCTTGTCTAAACAATGAACTGAACATCGATTTTACTGGCAAGTACACTCGAAGAATTCTCTGTTGCCAAGTTCATGGCGGATAATTTGGTGAGCAGTTCGTCACGGGAATGCTCCACGTGATCTGACCAATACAGCCTATGTAGAGGCACTGTCTCGGGAATTACCATTAAAACCTTTCATCTTTAACGGGCTTAGTCTTAACCCAGAGTCCCGGCAGTCGTTAGTGGATATCGTATGGGCAACTTCACCTTTACTCAGTTCCAACTACAGTGACTATTACTAATGTTAAGAACATGCCATCGTACTGGCGTATGCGTGACGCCATCTATATGACGTACATGTTCAAGTGATGTCATCTGCATGACGTATACGTTCAAGTGATGTCAACCACATGACGTTCATGTTCGAGTGATGTCATCTACATGACGTATACGTTCAAGTGATGTCATCTACATAACGTATACGTTCAAGTGATGTCATCTACATGACGTATACGTTCAAGTGATGTCACCTACATGACGTATACGTTCGAGTGATGTCATCTACATGACGTACATGTTCGAGTGATGTCATCTACATGACGTATACGTTCAAGTGATGTCATCTACATAACGTATACGTTCAAGTGATGTCACCTACATGACGTATACGTTCGAGTGATGTCATCTACATGACGTACATGTTCGAGTGATGTCATCTACATGACGTACATGTTCGAGTGATGTCATCTACATGACGTATACGTTCAAGTGATGTCATCTACATGACGTATACGTTCAAGTGATGTCATCTACATGACGTATACGTTCAAGTGATGTCATCTACATGACGTATACGTTCAAGTGATGTCATCTACATGACGTATACGTTCAAGTGATGTCATCTACATGACGTATACGTTCAAGTGATGTCATCTACATGACGTATACGTTCAAGTGATGTCATCTACATGACGACGTATACGTTCAAGTGATGTCATCTACATGACGTATACGTTCAAGTGATGTCATCTACATGACGTATACGTTCAAGTGATGTCATCTACATGACGTATACGTTCAAGTGATGTCATCTACATGACGTATACGTTCAAGTGATGTCATCTACATGACGTATACGTTCAAGTGATGTCATCTACATGACGTATACGTTCAAGTGATGTCATCTACATGACGTATACGTTCAAGTGATGTCATCTACATGACGTATATGTTCAAGTGATGTCATCTACATGACGTACATATTCAAGTGATGTCATCTACATGACGTACATATTCGAGTGATGTCATCTACATGACGTATACGTTCAAGTGATGTCATCTACATGACGTATACGTTCAAGTGATGTCATCTACATGACGTATACGTTCAAGTGATGTCATCTACATGACGTATACGT